TTCTCATCCTCGTCCATCACATCATCACTTATACTACACGTCTTAGCACAACCGCATCATATACCTTCTCTCCTCACACTTCGTTCTTGACTCTTCATCTCACTACTCCGTCTCCCGTGTGATGTTCATATACATTTGAAATTTGTAAAACTTATCATGTGGGGTTATCCGGTCCTTTTATTTTTTCTGCCTCTTCGCAGGTCAATCCTTCTCGACAAAAATCGTAACCACTTGTACCACCGGCCCCACCACTCGGCTTCCTGGGCCCCGGGATTCGCACCCCTCGGCACCGGGGACCCGGTTCCGCGCTTCGCACGTTCGCTGTCCCCTGAGGCACGGTGCTCCAGCAGTGCGTCGATGAGATCGAGGTGTGGTCGCCGTGTGGTCGACGGTGGGCGGAAGGTTGAAAGGGCGGTGGAGAAAAAAAAATTCATCATTGTAGCATGGTATTTGTCAATGATCGTATATCATTATATCATCAAGATCATCAAGTGTTTGTGATGTACCATATATTCCCTGCTCTTGAAGGGTTTTACCATGTTTTACCATGTCCAGGCTTGCCTCTTGCACATCTCTGGACGATTGTTCAACCATCCAGTCCGCGGTCAGTTGCTACCCCCACTGCTACCCACCATCCCCATCGTGCTGTTTTGTCTTGAACAGAGTTTGGTCCAAGAGATCTTCACACCCAGACACAACCCATAAAACTACCAGTCCGGACTGCCTTCAAAACGGCCAGGGGTGGTGGTGCCAGGGGGGTCTATCTGGGGCAGAACTATGGCAGTCCCAGACAGGTCGTGTATGGGACACCTTGACGGATCCTGAACGTCCCAATCATCTTCAACCCATGAAGTCCTGGATCGAAGTCCTGTCGGTCTCGAGCACGAAGTTCGGACCGGACCCGAAACGAAGGTGCGACTGGACGCCATGGAGCCAGGGCACCTCAGCTTTCCTACCCAAACACTCCATGTCTATTATACATTCACCCCTTTTCAACCACCCCAATGTATACATATTGGTAGTCCCATGGAGTGTATGGGTACCTTCGTTCATCGCTCTTTTTCGTGGTTGTTCGATCGCTTCCGAACCCTTCGTTCATCTTCCAGGTGGCCAAGGCCGGATACTCCACACTCATGTCGGCGGAGACCAACTTCTCGGTGGACGCCCTGCCACTTGACATCTCACCGCTGGAGAGGAGAGGAGAGTCAGGTGTACCGGTGGTTAGCTCAGACTGGAATCCCCGAGACAGGTGGGGAGAGAGTCAGGTGGTTTCTGTACAGGTGGTTCAGATGGGGAGCAGGTGGACAGATTTGGACTCCCCGAGACTCGTCCGAGATGACATGACTCGGATTGTCCGGTCGTGACTGGATGCTGGACCACTCGAGGTTAGCCGTGACAGGCCGTGACAGGCCGTGAAACTGCAAGTTAGTGGGATTTCCCGAGTTTTGCAGCTGCTGCTGTGTGTGCGTGGATGCTGGTGGGTATTCCCAAGCCAAGTCTTCTAGAGTTCCATAAAACACATCGGTTAAGAGCGTTCTGAACCCTCCACCATCTTCAGACATGGTTTGGGCATCGTTGGGGCATCTTCTTCCAGTCACAGGGTTCGGTGGTCTCCGAATCCCAAAGGTTCACCGATTTCGGTTGAAAGGAGCTTGTTCGTTTTGTCACTGTCCTTCCTCTCCCAGGTATGACAACTTAGTGGATCAGATGCAGAACGGCAGTCCGAGCACCCAACGTCGGGAGGGTTTGGGCCGTCGGTTGGCGGAAACCATAACTGTTTGGACCCTCAACAGGTGGTTAATGGACACCCCTTGACCTCTAAGGGGCTATTAATGGACACCCGGAATCCGTGGTGCTGGATTGAATAGTTATACCCTAGGCTTCAAAGGTCAAGTTTAACTTGTACTTGGAGGACGTTCATGTTCTACTTTGTAAAACATAGGCTTTCTGAAAACGCTATCTTTTACTTCGTGGAAGGCCACCAGTTTAGGCTTGTGGCTCAAGATGTTCAGGGCCACACTTTTTGGATCCCTGGTGGCCATGATTGGATGAAGCGGGCCATCGAAAAACGCCAGGGCCCTATCAAGTGAATCAGCTACTGGCACCACTTGGTACATTAATCTCCATTATCATCCTAGCTGGCCAAGGCAAATGGGAGCTTCGCGATTCAAGAGGCGCCTTCCCCGCCAAAGTGCTATCAAACATTCCTGAATGCACCCGTTGCATTGCTTTCATTTGATGTTCAAAACGAAGATTGGTTCTTGATTGTATCATCTTGGCTCTCAGCCAATTTTCAGGGGCCAGTGCAGGAAAGACTACATTTTGATGTTCAGTGCTCCACTATTTTCTTCACACGGCCACTTTGATCTCCACGCCCCTTTTCGCATTTGCTTGCCGCCGTCATGCCGACGAAGAAACCTGACGCGGAGCGTATTCAGCTTTTGAAGGCCAGGGTGCCAAAGGTGGATTTTGCTGGCAGTCTCTCAGGAAGAACGTATGTTACATTGTAGTTAGATGCCATGCCCATTCCAACCAATACCAGTCACGGGCTCCGGGTCTGCCAGGAATTCTACAAAGACCTTCTCAAGGACGATTACCGCTTAGAAAGGTTTCGTTTTTTGGCAAAAAAGGAGGGCATGCCCGAAGCTAAGATTGAGAAGGTCTTGGTGAAAGGAAATGGGGTGCCCCCCAGATCAGTTGCATCATTTTTGATTGGCTAGCTGAAAGAATTTGAGTCACTGATCATTCGGACCCCATGTGTCGATTTCCATGGCTCCAGGTACCAACAACATTCACATTCCTGGATGTTCATCCCACCAAAGGCCTTAGTGAGGATATGGTGTAGCTGGCAGGTTTACATTTGCGGACATTTTTTGCAGTTGTTTGCATCTATGACCGGCCAGATCCAGACCGATGCAAACACAAAGTTCGCTATGATGTGGTTACCATCCTTTGCACTGAACTGCCCAACAGCCACGGAGACAAAGGCACGCCTGTCTCACACCATGCACTCGCGAGCTTCAACACGTCCACCTGAAACCACCGCTGCAAGGAAGCTTTGCTGGATGTGGCCATGGAGTACCACTTGTACGATTCCACAGTGGTAACACCGGAAATGGTGGAAACTCATCGAGAAAGTACGAATCACTGCAACTAAGACTATGTTCCGTCAAATCGATTGTCTTTTGATCACTCGACACATTGGTTCCGCTTCCCCCAAAGCAGCCCAACATCACCAACCTCGATCAGGAATGGGCAAACACAGAGGCTGGTTTGCATCGCTGCCTGGCGAGCAAAATTCTTCACTTGCACGGTCGCAGCACTGAAGCGAGGCTCCGTAGCCACTACTCAACTCGATCTTCATATAGTTTAAGTTCTGATTGCAGGAAACCAGATTCCAACTTAGCAAAGTTGAAGCGAATGGTGAGCATGATCTATGAGGATCATATGGATTTGTTCATTGTTTGTTGAGTTGAATATGTTACAGTCCAAACTCTCCAAGAGAGGCTAAGAGGCCACATTCTTGTGGCTTCTCAACCTCTATTGGATCAATGTTCCCAGCATTCGAAGGAGCATGGAATCAAAAAGCGAACAAGATCGATTCGAAGACCTCACTTGCTGAAGGCAGGAATTAGGGGATCGATATTCTTGCAGTTGTAGGTTCAAATTCAATTTTGACAAGCCTAAGGCCTAAAACATACCCACCCCATCTGGCCCACAGGACGGCGAAAAAGAGAAAGGAAAAAAAGAAGACAAGGCTGAAGCAAAGGCTGAAGAAAAGAATGACGAAGCAATGACCGAGGCCGACGAGGTTGATGAGGTCATCATGATGGAGGAAGAAGAAGAGGAGGAAGACTTCCAAGATGATCCTGAAGTGACAGCTGCTCAGGACGAGCCGGAGCTTCCGCAAAAGGAAGAAAGGATCCATGATGAGGTTGCCAAGAAAGAAGACAAGAGGCTGGTGAAGGACGCTCAACAAAAGGCAGATGAAGAGAAGAGGATCCGTGAAGAGGCTGCCAAGAAGATGGAAG